CTACTCTATTCTATGACGTTGGATCCTGGAAATTATTGGTCAAAAGAGATTATCAGGATTCCTTAGGATCAGTAAGTTAAGGACAAGAGGAATGTTTCTTTGGAAATGAAATATTTTACAGCAATTCTGTAAAAAAAAAAAATCCAAACTGCAAAAAAATACTCACACTTTGTATTATGTTTAGCAATACACTTTCTACAGAACAACAGGTAAGCAATCTGTAGCTTTCGAGACCTTCCCAGAGCCCTTTGAACATCCTAAACTAGTTTTCAGTGCTCAAATCTTGCTCCCTCTTCTGGTAGTGAGGAAATACGCATGCATACTGTATAAGATTTCATTTCTCAGTTTGCGTATATTGAGTACAGTTGGATGAAAAAAACTAAAAGGGAAAATGTACTGATCAGAAGATCAGAGGTGACAATCTCATTTCAGAATTCTTTCATTCTGTACAAACTCCTTAATATTTTTTTTACAAAATTTTCTATACACATAGAAACATTATTTGGTTTTCTTAGCGCAAAACCTGGAAGCCACTTCTAGTTTTTGCATTTAGCCTTAGCATAAGGTCCTGGAAAAATTAATTTTCCCCTTGGCATCTCTTTTTCCTACAGCTAGGTAAATTGATATGCTTCATTTCTTTAAAAAAAAAAACACAATACAACCCATTTGAAGCCTTGTAGGAAAGTTTACTTTCTTGATTAAAATGTTTATTTTTACTATAGGAATCAGTTGGCCTTGAAAATATTTAATTTTGACTGGATAGTAACACATCTTTGCATTAAGAACAGCACCTAAGCCTATGTGTTTCTTCTTAGCATATGGCAACCATTCCCAGCCCGGGTACACTGTTGATAAGTGGATTTCAGTTTCCAGAATATACAGCTGACATGAGCCTCCTGCATCTGGGAAGTGTTTTGAGTTGAGGAATTCTGGTGCATGGGATCAGTATTTAGCACCGAGCATGGATAGTTCCATGATAGCTATCATCATTTCGACTTGGGTTGATTCATGCTGTGCTACATAAGCTGCTTTATATTATTGTATCAGGTGATTCATTCATCTAGCCTACCACTGTTTGCTTTAACTGGAGAAAGCTCTTCCACATAATTTTACCAGGTGCAGCTGCAGAGACAGTATCAAAAATGGTCTGGGACTGATATTGGAACATGCTGTTGTCTTTGTGGAATAGTCTTTTATCCATACACACAGGATATTTAATGCATTCTTATACTAGAAACTTTGTCCTCAAGAATCATCTATCACAAAAATAATGTGAAAGAACAGGTTACTCCCATGGCCCACTTCTGCATAGATACCCCAAAAGCTGGTTAAACTTAAATTTACCAGAACTTACGTTTCAAGCACATTTTTAAATTGCCAAAAAAGTCAACAGAGAAGTGCTTGATGCAGTCAGCTCCTAGGTATTTCTTGTCCTGGATTTCCACATTTGCACCATACAGCTAATACAAAACTCAGCTCAATGTCCCAAACAGCTCATAAAAGGAAATATATTTTGGGAAGGCATTAAAATGTCTTCAAAGGAAGAGAGAACACAACATGCATCAGTAGAGAATAATGGCAAGAATTTCCTGAGAATAAATGGAATACATTTATTGTTCTCTGATCTAAACATATGAATACACATTGCTATCATTCTTTTCTAAGAGGTGTATTGCCGAACATCTATTCTTGCTACAAGATAAGAATGATGCTCTAGTTCTTATATTTCTATGAACTACATTTAATTTCTTCTACATACTGAGTATATTAAAGATGCCTAAATGCCACTGATGTAAGATTTACTTACTTATTATTTGTACCCTACCTTTATTATTTTTACAAACAAGCAGCAAACATATACAATACACCTTCTTCCTATTTTCCCCACAACAACAAACCTGTGAGAAGGGTTGGGATGAGAAAGAGGGACTGGCTCAAAAACACCCAACTGGATTTCAAGGTAAAGATGGTTTGTAGCCTTAACCTCGGGGTATCAACCTCGGGGTATCTCCTGCTTTGTAGCCTTAACCTCGGGGTATCAACCTAGGGGTATCTCCTGCTTTGTAGCCTTAACCTAGGGGTATCAAACTTGATCCCATTGTGGGCTGTATCAGTATTTTGTTTGCCCTTGGAGGCACCAGGTGGGTGCAGCCTGGTCATCGCGGCCAGCTGGATGGGCATGGCCAGGGTAGGACAGGGTCAGGGCGGCATGGGCCAATCCCTCACTGTCTCTGGGATGGCCCCATGGGACAACTCTGGGCCTATTGTGGGCCGAATCTGGCCTTTGGTTACGTGTTTTGACATGTCTGCTTAACCTATTACATTTTTGAAGGAGATTGGCATGTTTAGCCATCCTCATGTTGTACCCCATCAACATACATGGAGGCTTTGCTGTGAGTAGTGAGTGCTAACCCAACTCCAGGGATTCTCCACTTGGTTCAATAAACACATTTCTTCAAAGGTCTACTCCAAAGATAAGTACTTGGTAAATTACAAACTTCCCCTCAAAGTCTTCAAGATTGTGCCATAAAAATTTGCTTGGTGCCAAATCAACATAGCTCTGTTACAGATGTTTCCCCCACACATCACCAAAAAAAAGCCGTTCCCGCTTGCCAGGGATGTCACAAGCTGTTGTGTGAAGCGGTAATGGCCTTGAGGAGCTTAGATTCTCTCTACCAAGGCAATGATCAGATAAAAGATGCCTGAGCCCTGGCCAAGAATATAATGTGAGTAAGTGTCTCAGACAAGCTCTTACCTGAGTTCACAGGAGAAAGGAAGACAGAAGGAAGCATGCTCAAATTGGAAGCTTCTGTTTCTGCAGCTTTATAATAAAAGTAGCACTGATTCTATATGGCATTAGTTCTCTACTCTAGCCTATTTTAAATGGTTGAGCCAAGCTCACCTTTCCATTATGAAGACACTGAAAACATGGGTTTGTGTGGGGGTGGGTGGGAGATACTGCCTCTTTAAAGATGCCCACTTTTTTCTGGCACAACATTTATGTATAAGAGTTCAAGTACAAGACTATACAATCAAGGCATCCCTGTTTCAAATATGAACGCTTGTTCATTTTCACAAAACACCACTGCCCTGGGAAACCAACCCTGAAACAGTATTGGGTAGCTATTTACAACTTTTCTTTCCCATAAAAGAATTTTTGCGCACCCTCAGGTCTAACACATCTGTAAATTTTTCTGAATAGTGGCATTTCTTAAATAGATCAAAGAAGTCTAAACTTTAAAATGTTACACTACTCTTAATAAAAGACAATCCAGAAGTATTTCAAAAAGTTTTATAAAATACAGAGGGAAGTCTTTTGAGGTTTCGGTTGTTTCAAACTTTCTGAGCGCATTTTTAGAATTTAGAGTCAACATTCTGGTAAAATAAATATATGGGATTATTTAACTATAACAGAAAAGCAACATTTTTATGCAAAAAGTTTAATAATACAGTCATAGTTTAATACCATCCAGTAAAAGTATACTGTAAAAATGTTCTAGGCATGAATTGATCTTAGAGGACATTACACAGCAATCCCATCCATTCTAACTCAGAGATAAGCTCGAACTATTTAATGGCATTTATTCCCCAGATGAGTGCGCAAAGGATTGCTGTGCTGTAAACATTTGAAGTACAACCCAGCAAGGTGTCCTGCTCAGAGCATCACTGAAATGAATGGGAACCAGGCCTGATCGGTGAGTCTTCCCAGAAGATCAAGCCTTTGCAACACAGTGAGGTAGACGGTAGAAACAAAGAATTCTTCATTAACACGTGGTTTTAAATCTTGCGGGAGCATTTTAGAGTGGAAAAAAATGGTAACATTGCAGACATACAAATGAAACATTTGGTTAATGCTTAAATCTGTACAGCTCAAATATATATTTTAAAAAATATTAGACACTTGAGTGCATATAATGCTCTGGGCATTAAGGGGAAAGGGGAAAATGTACATTGCTCACCTCCATTTTTGTACTTTGCAGTCTGTTTTAAATAAATATTTACAGCTTCAATATGAACAACACTGTATCCAAACCAAAGTGTGCACTTTCTTTTAAATTATTGCTCCTGATGAAGGTTTTTCCTTTATTAGCATTTTATATTATTTATCTATTATATTTATACACTAATACGTCTTTCCTCCACTTTCCCCACCCTTCTGAAGTTCTATGAAATCCTGAATCCACAAGAGAAGGAAATGTCTCAGGAATATTTCCAGGTCTTGTGAGGTGCAGAGGTGCAGAACCTGATTTGTAGAGCAATTTGTTTAATTGTCTCCCTCAGCATCACATCTGCATTAACTATAAAACCCCATGGCAGCTGGTGCCCTTCCTGGAACTTTTGAATTTTGAACATTTTGAAATTAAGGAGCTCTTTCACAACCCTCTAAACCTCCCCAAGTATGTCCCTCCTGTAGCTCTTTTCACAGCTTCTAATTAATACATTTAAAAGATCAGCCACCTAACTAATAATTATAGAGTGGAACTGATTTTTATTTACGTATTTATTTAAAAGAAGGAAGTCTGTTTCAGGATGGAAATATCTGTAAGGGAAACACCCAAACAATTCCGGATTCAAGGATTGTCAAAGGAAACCTTCTCCACGCTTGCTTTTCCTAATACTTTTCTCTCAAAAGAGAGCCTAGAAGAGAATACCAGGATTACATTCTTGGAACGGAATCCTGCATTGGAAGTGATGCAGTTTGCTTCATCTATTTCTTCCTTGCCTCCAAGTCAGAAATTAGAAATCGCGGATTGCCGCTTCAACGCAGGTGAACTACAGGGGGGCAGGGAGAAAAAGTAAAAGAAGTCCGTTTTAAAACCTGAATGTAAAGGCCAAGTTCTGCCAACAAGAGGAGGGCATGAGGCTAGCGCCAGTTACGAAAGTGACCCACAACACGTGTCTTTGCCTGGTTCCCACAATTCAATTTCTGACACCCACGTTGCCTCTCTTAAGAGGCTTGCGTAACTTCCCTGATTCTCCTTTTTTTAAAAAAAAAATTTCTTCCAGAAACTACAAGGACACTATACTACGAGGAAAGGGGCAGTGAATTATCCCAGAAAATATTGTTTCCGGATTCAAAATCAAGGCTTAAATTTCTGCTAAACGGGTCACTATTATTTTGGGTCGTTCCAGCCTCCAGTCGAGGAGAGACGTCGATCGATCAACCTTCAGAGCAACTTTTGCCACGTGTTTTCTGAGCAAAACCGGGCGGGGGGCTGGACTAGATGACCTACAAGTTCCCTTCCAACTCTGTTCATCTGTAAAATCTCCCATCCTAGGAGAGACGGCTTTGCCTGGACGCGGAAACACCGAGGCTGTTCCCAAAACGGCACCCGCCACTGTACTTTCTCTCTCTCCCTCCCGGCTCTTTTAAGGAGCAGGACCTCGAATCCCCGAAGCAGACATCGCGCAGGCGCAGTCCGGGGCCGTCCATTCTTCCCTCCCCAGTGCAGGAGGAGGATTCGCACGTGGCGCGCTTCCGTCCGCTTTCCCCTCGCGTGCCTGTCTCTCTCTCTCGCGCGCGCGCTCTCCGCCGTGGAAGTTTCCCTCCCCCCGAGGCTTTCCCCGTCCGCCCTTCCGCTCCAAGGGGCAGCCGGGGACGGAGGCGCGCCGCTACCTGCACCCGCAGGACTCGACCACCATGTCCTCGTACTGTTTGTACACCACGTTGTTTCCCGCGTCCGTGTAGAGGATGCTGATGGGCGTCAGCTTGGCCGGCACGCAGCAGCTGGGCGGCGTGGCGGCCGGATCCATGGAGTTCATGAGGGTCTGGATGATGGCGTGGTTGGTGGGCTCCAGGTGCGAGCGGAGCGGGAAGTCGCACACGCCCTCGCAGTGGTAGGCCTCGTACTCGAGCGGGGCGATGATCCAGTCGTCCCAGCCCAGGTCCTTGAAGTTCACGTGCAGCGCCTTCTTGGTGCACCGCAGCCGCGTCTTCTTGCCGTGCCGCTTGCCGTGCCGGTTGTTATACGCGGCGCGCTTCAGCCGGCGGGCCTGCAAGCGGAGCTGGACGGGGGCCGGCGCTTCCCAGGGTAGCGCGGCGGCGGCGGCCGCCTTTTGCGGCGGAGAAGGCCGGGCTCCGGGCTCCGGCCGCAACTCGGCAAAGAGGTTCTTCCGCCTCGACTTGCTGAAGACCACCAGCAGCGCCTTCTCCTGCTGGGCCCGGGCGCCTCGCCCCAGGCCTAGGGGCCGCAGGTCCAGCAGCTGCGGGTGAGGCTGAGATCGAGTCCCCCCGACGGCCCGCAGCTCCAGGCAAAGTTGCTGCCGCTTCTTCCAGGGCCCGCGGAGGGGCGGTAAAGCTTGGCCCACATCAAACACCTCCCAGTCGCCGCCGACGCCACCGGGCCGGCCGGGCGCCGCCTCCTGCAAGTCCAGGGTCCGGGAGTCCAGTCGGCGGCCCGAAAGGCAGGGCGAGACCTGCAGACGGGCCAGGCCTGTCTGAGCCTTGGAGAAGGGATCGCCGGGGGCTTTCCGAAAGAGACGGAGCTCGGCCCCCACCAGCTCCTCTTTGTCTGAGAGAGTCGATACATCAAACAAATATTTTTGTCTCCTTAAAGCGCTGGGCGAAAGATCGTCTGCAAGATAAAAAGACATAATTGCAGTCAGTTTTACCTCTGGAGGGAGAACTTCAACGGCCGAGGGGAGGAGGGGGGAGCCTTGTCCAGGTGTGGAGGGCATTTTGTGGTACCCTTGTGCAAGAAGGAACAGGGAAGGATCTCCAGAAACGGAGGACTCTTCTCCAGCAGGTTACTAAAACAGGGAGGTTATAGGAAGCCAAGAGGCTTCCTAGAATTACAGTAGCAAGCAACCCACAGGTTTCCAAATGGAGGGGTTTATATCTAACAACTGGTGCCTTTTTAGTGCAAAGTACAAAAAACCTCCATGCTGTACTCATTTGGCTGTGTAAAAGTTTATCTGACATTACTGCTTTTACTGCTATAAGCCGGCTAGAATACTGGGGATTCAACCTGTTTACATTTGCTGTTCAAATTTGGCATATTCTATATTTTCACAACTACCAGGCAGATAGGATATTAAGGGATGAATCTATTTTTTTAATTGTAGTGTGTTTCCAAGGTGAAGCACCCCTTTCCTAAATTGGAATAATGGAGAGTTAAAAGACACACATAATGACAGCATCTTTGGGGCAATGTATGTTCACTTTTCATTGCTTAAAAATCTAAGTTCCTATTTGTGGGTTACAGCAAGGTACTGTAATCACATTGGGATTTTTTTTTATTGTTTTAAAGCAGGCTGTGTGCAAAATGCAGGCTATGAAAAGCAAATCGGGTCACCTCTTTTTCTACTTACCAGTTCAAAGCTTTATAGGTTGGCAAATACAAAATTTCTCCCTTTCTCCAGGTTTTCCCTCAAGAGCTAGTAAAACCTGCGTGTCTTTTGGGAGTAATATCACCAACAAATATTGCAACCATGAATCTCCTGCTGAGATGCAGCTGCAATAGTCCTGTTCTTCTATTGATTACAAAGGTAACATTCCTAGTCAATATATGTTTAAACGAAAAGCTCTGGATGAGAGGACTTGGAAAAATGGGAGTAGAGTATCAAAAGGATGCTTATGATGGGAACCAAAATATCTTCAGATAAGCTAGCAAGAGAAAGATTGGTTTCATATGCTGTGCTAATTGGTCATTTATTTTGCTCGGTTCTGACTTTGCAAATGTGAACCAAATGATGTTGGCTTCATCAGCAGATTGTGACTTTAATGCCATGTACAAATGCAACCAAACTGCCAGTAACAAATATGTTGGTCACCCAGTAGTGTTTCCTGTTAAAAAAAAAACATGAGAATAATAATTCTCTTTCAAAGATAGAAAAATGTTCTGCAGCTCATTTCTTTGGCTTGTGGCTTTTATCCACCCCTGCAATTTGATGCTTTGATTTGAATTCCACAATCAGCACCTTTGCAATAGGCCTTGAAGCCTCTCCTAAGATTGTGTGCTTTACGTGCTTGATGCTATGTCTTTTATTAAGAAGTAGACACTGCCTGTAAGTATTTGCAAACTAGGTTTTTGGCTGCCATACTGATCCCTCAGTACATAATTAAAGGGGCCAATGGCAGCTTCAGTGGCAATCAGGACTTGCATTGTGCTGATCAAAGGGCCATTTTTACCAACATTGAGGCAAAGCAGGCCAGCTAAGGGAAAGGTATTAACTTTAAGTTGTTGGAGTGATTAAATCTGCCATGTCTATTAGGCAAGGAGATACCTAATGGTTGGATGCCAAAGTCATCTTTTTAATCCTTGATGGTGGTTGGGGGGGGGTGTTTTAAATGTCTTAGAAAGTCTTGCATGCGGTTGTTAAGAGACAAGTTGACAAATGCCCAAGTTTTGCGTGCATAGTGGCAGTGCAGCATTTGTGATCCTATGATTATCTTATCAAATTATATGGGACTTAACTTCCAACTGGTGCTAAGTGTTTTGCAGTCTTTCTTTGAAATCCACTGTGAATTCTAGCGGGAATTACCCCCCTTGGATTCTTGAAGACCTGTTCCATATCTTTTAGAAGGATAAAGGTAGATATTGATTGCCAGTTCTTTTCTAACACATTTTGATTGCAACTCTGTACTTGTTCCCCTGCAAATGTACTTGGGATATATATACACTGAAATGTGTAATATTCTTAGGTTAATATTTTGTGATTCCTCCAAGGTAGTTTCTCCATGTTATTCTCAGAAGGACCTTGAAAAGTAACTGTCTCCAAACATCAATATAATGTTCGTATTGTGATCTCAGTGTCAGTCCTAGTTTTTTTTAAAAAAAAAAAAATCCTGGCTTTTATATATATATGTATGTATGTATGGCATTCAGCTTTGTTCGGGTATTTTCCCACGTCATTGTAGTTGTGCTTTTAAAGTTGTAGGCAGAATCTCATTTGCCATCATCAGGCTTCTGTATTGTGTTCGTCCAGATGGCAGATGAGATTCTGCCGAAACGTTCCTACAACTTTAAAAAGCACATGTAAGTACCCGCGAAAACTTAAGAAAATTATATATATATATATATATAAAGGCCAATCTGTTATTTCAGAAAGCTGTCAGATTTATTTATTTTTAATTCAGTTTTCCCCTTTATTTTGGTCACTTTAACATTTACTGTATAAATAGTACTTCATGCACAATATTTTACATTTATGTGAAAAATACAGAAATTGAATTGTCTTTTAAAAAATAAATTTACATATATTGTTTGATTTTAGATATCTTTTAATGCATTTTTGAACAGTTTTTCTTTGTTTTGCTCTTGAATTGTCTTTGTAAAGCAAAGGTATTTTTTTTATCCTTATGAACCTGTTTCAGACTTGTCCCCTTTTCTGGTTTGTCCTTTATTTTTTCCAATAAAATATAGTCACCCCACTTGTATAGTGCTGAAATGAAAAAGGATTACTCAGTCCAGATTGCTGGATACCTATTTCACTGTGTAAATATGAAATTATTGCTTAATTATATTTGAAATCAATAACTACATTTCAACTGTATTAAAATATAAATACAAGAGGCATTTGAATGAAATGTAAATGCAGGTATGCTTTTAAATGTTGTCAAACAACACCATTGATCTCAGTGAAGCTGATTTATGAGTAAACATGTATCCAAGATTCTTAATGGGTTCTATTAAATGCTCAATACTGCTGTTGTGATAACAGAGGAATTAGTGTATGAAATATTGATGACTTTTCATGTCTGAACACCAGATTTCTTATATAAAATTATGATTTAAACTAGACCACTTAAGTTTAATGCTGGGCAGGGAAACTCCTTTGCACTTCTTTGTATTCTCAGCGATGAAAGACAGTTAGCTTTAGAAATTCTTTCCAAGGACAAGACTATTTTTTTTAAATGCTCAGAGATGTCCAAGAGAATTATGTTCCTTCACATAGCCTTCTCTGCAGCTGTCTGCAGTTTCTCTAGCTTCTCACACTTCATTTCCAAGGAATGGCATGAGTAAGCTGTCCCAAAGGGCTTTTTTCTGATTTAGAACCATGAAAGCTTCAAAATTATAAAGACATGCCTAACAAGTAACACCAGTAATAGCACCTATTGTACCCTCAATATTATGTTAAAAGTACTACCAAAGAACTTTATTTTGGATACTGAGTGATGTCATCATATATGCAGAGTAAGTTTTAGACTGTATAAACTAGAGGAAGACAGACAGAATCCTGCAGAGTTTATCTAATCCTTTTTTAGTATTCCATACTGTGTACAAAGCTCAAGATGTCATCACCAGGTTGTAGCTTAACAAAATTAAAATGTTAGGTAGTATTTCCTCAATCTTTGCAACTTTCAGATGTGTGGGCCAACTCGCAGATTCCCCAGCCAGGCAACAGAGTGATTACTGAGAATTCTGGGAGTAGAAGTTCACACATCTGGAAATTGCCAAAGGTGAGTAACTTCTCTGGGTTAAGAGAGAGTGATTGGCCCAAATCCGTCCAATGAGAACCCTTTTATTGCTGTTCTAAACCTCACTTTGCCAGCTCATCCTTTTTCCAAATTCAGGCTTTCTAGACCTGTTGGATTGCAACTCCCATTATCCCTGGCATTTAATATAGATTAATGGAGACTCCTAACCCTTGCTACTATTTGATCTAAACCAATGCTTGGAAGTGAGGTTAAGAAATTAAAAGACAGATTTTATTATAAATTTATATTATACATTCATCCAATGGTTACATATTTTATATTATATATTAATCTATTGATATTCTATTACGAAACTTCCTAATCTGTTTCATTGCCATGTCAAGAATATCTCGTATAAAATGATGGAATAATAGTTTAGTCAAATGAATGATTAATAACTGATAAGTATATAAGCATATGCTAGATTGACAATTGGAGAATCTATACAACTTGTGAGTAAGGACTATGAAAGGATAGCACAAAGGATTTGAAACCAGCTGACACACTGTATGTATATAATTGGAAGATGGTTTTATGTTTTTATGTTTCTGTATATGTTTATCTTAAAAAATAAAAATCTTTTTAAAAAAAAGAAATTAAAAAATAAAAAGTTAAATTAAAAGATAAAAGAAAAAGTTCCTGTTTTCATAATCCTTCTCTGTGAAAAAGGACCCCATGGCTGTTGGGCACATGCCCTCTATTTGGTTGCTAATATACCTATCAACCTGCTAGAAAGAAATGGGTAGCAGCCTTATCTGTTACCCAGATTTGAAGCAGATAACGTCTTATCCTGAAAGGGCAGGTTTGGTTTCAAGAAGACATTAGATGGCAGACACAGGTGGTCCTCAACTTATGATCATAAGTGGGACCAGAACTTCCATCACTAAGCAACATGGGTCATTAAGCAAGTTGCACCAGATTTTGATCACGTGATTTGGGATGTTGAGTGATTATAACTGCAGAACTGGTCATAAGTTACTTTTTCAACACCATTGTAACTTTGAACAGTCATTAAACGGTTGCAAATCAAGGTTTACCTGTACCACCAGCTACACCACATGATTAAATGCAAGCTAGCTACAAAGATCTGGAAGTGGATTTGCACATGCTAAGAATTATCGGCACACTTCATTGATAATGACACATCTTCCTCAT